ATGAGGTGAGGTGAGGTGGGGTGATATGAGATGGGTTGAGGTGAGGTAAGGTGGTGTAAGGATGAGGTGAGGTGAGGTTGGGTGATGTGAGATGGGTTGAGGTGAGGTGAGGTGGTGTAAGGATGAGGTGAGGTGAGGTGGGGTGATATGAGATGGGTTGAGGTGAGGTAAGGTGGTGTAAGGATGAGGTGAGGTGAGGTTGGGTGATGTGAGATGGGTTGAGGTGAGGTGAGGTGGTGTAAGGATGAGGTGAGGTGAGGTGGGGTGATATGAGATGGGTTGAGGTGAGGTGAGGTGGTGTAAGGATGAGGTGAAATGATACGAGAAGGGATGAGTTGAGTGAGGATGAGGTGAGGTGATGTAGGGTGAGCTGAGATGAGGTGGGGGTGAGATGGGATGAAATGAGATGAGCTGAGGGGATGTGGGGTGATGTGAGGTGGGGTGGGTGAGGTGAGTTGAGGTGAGATGAGGTAAGGTGAGGTGAGGTGGGGTGAGGTGGGATGATATGAGGTGAGGTGAGATGAGACGAGACAAGACCAGATGAAACGAAAGAAAATGAAAACAATAATACGTGTGTGTCTTGATCCTATGAATATTTTAAAATGTCGTAATTTCGGCTGCCAGTGTCAGCAACGTTTACTGGTGGAGAGAAGGGCAAATTTTACAGTGAGACCAAGGAGTAAAGGAAAGATAGCACCCGAAACAAAATTGACATGTGGGTATTTTCTCTCAATAAGACAGTGGAATATAGTAATGACAACAGCCAGCGTGAATCACATACTGGTTTTGTTTAAAGTCAGATTGTGGAATCAAATAGAAATTTCAAAAGGAAATGGACCCTTATAGTTTTATGTGTACAGTAAGACTGTGGAATAAAGTCAAGCGAACGGCTAAAGCAAAATTCGCCCTCCCTTTTTTGTTAACAGTAATACTATGGAATGAAGTAAAGTTAACGACCAAAGAAAAAGTCCTCGACTTTTTGTTAACAGTAAGACTGTGGAATCAAGCAACGATTCCAAGACAAAGAGAGAATCAATTGGGCCTTTGTTTAAATTTAGACTGCGGAATACCAACCGAAATATAAACACGAACGTTTTCGTTTAAAGTAAGGCTGTCAGATAGAGTAAAGATTTTAAAAAATATTGCTCTTAGCAAAATGAACAATAGAGATTTAATTTAAAGTTAGACTGTAATCCCATAGGAAAATGATCTACAGCAAAACGAACACTTAGGTTTTTATATTTAAAAATTAGACTGTGAAATATCAAAGCAAAAAAAAAAGACACCAACCCAACAAAACACTTACATTTTTGTTAAAAGTAAGACTGGACTACCAACGGAAAAATGAACACTTACGTTTTTGTTCCGGAAGCTAGAAGCTTGTCTCAGGCGTTGTGTGATGACCCCGGTGCAAAACGTAATGACAACAAAACTCAGACAAGGCCATATGATTCCGATGAGGTTGTAGTATTGGAAAACTGGGCCTTTGTTGGTCAAGGCAAATGTATTGTACTTGTAGATAGCCACCGAGGCGTTGTAGCGAGAACTCCACACATAGAGAATGTCGTAGACCCCGAACATGACGGAAAAACCGCCAAACACCACCACGGAAATGGTGATGCACATGAAGGCGGAGATCTTCCTGGTGAGCAGCCACTTGACGTGGAGGGGGAAGCAGACACAGAGACATCTCTCTACAGCCACGTACGCCGCGAGAGCGCTGGTCACGTAGGTGGAGAAGCTTATGGAGAAGTTAAAAGCTACGTGGGAGATATTTCTCCAGCTTTGAGCTTCTGGCGGGTACAACAAAGCCATGGGGCCCGCGAGCCTCTGCAGAGCGCCGCTCAAACATTTCAGCAAGTCCCACACGGCGATGGTCGTCATGGAAACGCTGACGCTGTCTCTGAAGCCTTGTTTGCAGAAAACGGCGATGACCAAGATATTGGTGACCACACCCAGGACTGAGATGGTGAAGTTTATTCCCAGGTCGAGTACACTTTCAATAACCCTGGTGGTGGCCGTAGTGAGGAAGGTCTCAGAGGGAACGAACACGCTCCCCGGGGTGACGAGGATTCTCTCAATGGGGACGATCGACTCTGGGCTAGAAGAAGACATGGCGGAGAGACAGGGGGACACGCGGGCTGTGTCTGTCGTGTAGCTGTCAGACGGGACGACACACGAGCTGTGTCTGTTGCGTAGCTGTCAGACGGGAGGACACACGAACTGTGTCTGTCGTGTAGCAGTCAGACAGTCCGGAGTAGCACTTGACCTAGGCCCCTCACGTCTGAAGCAGCAAAGGCAGAGAGCTGTGTGGAAAGAAGACGTAGATAAATGTTAATAGTTTTGTAAATCAAAGTGATTTGACTTGATATAGCAGTGAATAAAAAGTGATATAAGGAGAGGCCCCACTACCATCGTATGCCCACAATTTATAGAGTGACAGTCGAAATTGTTCAGACGGCCACCCACTGTCGAGGAGTAATGTGGTAATTTTAGACAGAGGACCTTCTTGAACAGCGTCATTATAATATTATAGAAAAACACAGGGCGAGGGGGAGGGGGGAGGGGGGAGGGGGGAGGGGGGAGGGGGGAGGCTGGAGGGGAGGGGGGTTTGAAGTGGTCGTTGGTACAGGTGATTGACTTGGGCATGCGGCCGTTAATGCAGGTTCGAAACTGATAGGGAAAACCACACAACTGTAACAGTACCCAAACGTATAGTTATATATAGTGTTAGGATGCGACAGCCTTTCTTGCCAGTGGTCGGTTGCTCCCAGCCTTTTATCAGTCGTAGGACAGTGGGTTGTTCACATCAGTCGTAGGACAGTGGGTTGTTCACATCAGTCGTAGGACAGTGGGTTGTTCACATCAGTTGCAATACAGTGGGATGTTCATATCAGTCGTAGTACAGTCGGTTTCTCCCACCTTTACATCAGTGGTAGGACAGTGGGTTGGTCTCACTAGTCATAGGACAGTGGGTTGCTCTTAGCCTTACATCCATCGTAGGACAGTCGGTTTCTCACACCAGTCGTAAGACAGTGGGTTGCTCCTATCAGTCGTAGGACAGTGGGTTGTTCACACCAGTCGTAGGACAATGGGTTGCTCCCACCCTTTCATCAGTCGTAAGACAATGGGTTGTTCATATCAGTCGTAGGACAGTAGGTTGTTCATATCAGTCCTAGTAGAGTCGGTTTCTCCCAACTTTACATCAGTCGTAGGACAGTGGGTTGCTCCCACCCTTTCATCAGTCGTAAGATAGTGGGTTGTTCATATCAGTCGTAGGACAGTAGGTTGTTCACACCAGTTGTAGGACAGTGGGTTGTTCATATCAGTTGCAGGGCAGTGGGTTACTCCAAGCCTTGCATCAGTCGTAGGACAAAGGGCTGGTCTTTCTCTTGGTGTGTTACATTTATGTTTAAACATTTGGGTCTTTCTCTCTGAGTGGTTGACCTGTTCTCTGATCTGGTTCTCTCCTTCATTCCTATAAAACATCTATCGTCCTTATCTCTCTTTCTTTTTTGTGCATGTTACGCTCTTGTAACACATCTATTCTTCTGCAATTATATGACCTTACTTTATTGCAAGTGCCGCAAAACTGTTACTAAAACTAAAACTAAGGTCTTTCTGTCTGTGTGTTACATTTACGTGCAAACATTTAGGTCGTCAAACAAATCAAAGAGACCTTAAGTGTGTCAAATGTTTGACGAACGTAGATCTACCTAAATTATAGCAATCTGAAATTGGAAATACTCCCCTTTCGTCTCCCCGCCCGCCCCCCCCCCCCTTCCCGCTTCCCCTTTTCCCTCGTCTCGCCTCGACCATTCTCAGCTCGGCCCCCCACACCTCCCCCCACATCTTCCACCCTTCTCCTTTTCCCCCCTCCCTCCCTAATCCCTCCCTAATGATGTAAATTCTATGAAAACGTTTTCTAAAACATGTTTGATGAAACTTGAAAACTGAGAAATCAATGCAATGTTGCTTGGGGTTCAGCGAAGATCTTTAGAAGATAGTCATAATCTCTCAGTATGAGTACATTAGCCCGTTGGGAGTCGTGATTGATTTGTACACATCGCAAGCGCGAAAAGATAGCGGTAAATGGAGAGAGAATGAGAGAAGAGAGAGAGAGAGAGAGAGAGAGAGAGAGCGAGAGAGAGAGCGAGAGCGAGAGAGAAAGAGAGAGAGAGAGAGAGAGAGAGAGAGAGAGAGAGAGAGAGAAGGCTAGAGAGGGGAGAGAGGGGGAAAAAGGGAAACAGAGAGAGGGAGAGAACGAGGAAAAGAGCAGTGGAGGGGAGAGGTGGAATAATATGAATGTGAGAGAGGGAACCGAAGAAAGAAAGAAAGAGAGAGAGAGAGAGAAAGAGAGAGAGAGAGAGAGGGGGGGAGAGGGGAGACAGAGAGACAGAGAGACAGAGAAGATGGGGTGGAGAATGAAGGTGAATGAGGGAACCGAAGAAAGAGAGAGAGAGAGAGAGAGAGAGAGAGAGAGAGAGAGAGAGAGAGAGGGGGGGGGAGAGAGAGAGAGAGAGAGAGAGAGAGAGAGAGAGAGAGAGAGAGAGAGAGAGAGAGAGAGAGAGCCTGTGTGTGTGTGTGTGTGTGTGTATTTATAATATGCACGTTATCTGTTTGTCTGTTCGACTGTCTATCAGTATATCACAGAAGGATAATTAGTGAGAAAATCTTTTATAGTCTATCTGAGTGAAAGCGAGTACTTTTCTCAAATCTAACCTGGCAAGTTTGATGGAAAGAGAGGCAGAGACAGACAGTGGGAAAAGACACTGGACAAGATGACAACATTGCTAAGAGCAGCAAGAACAACGGACCCCATTACTGCAAAGCAAGACAGAGTGAAGGGGAGGTCCGTGATCGCCCTTGCAAGTCGGCAAGGCACCGGATGATGATGAACCCGGCTCTGTTGGCAAAGTTTTGCTACAAAACACATCGCCTAGCCTGCTCTAACGTTCATCTGTCCTAGACAGTCAGTTGTATAAACAGCTACTCCCGACAGACTTCCTACCTCCCCCCGGGGGCGGTGCCACTGACTGAAGTGTCTTCAGGCCATTCTCAAAGGGGAGACATTTCTTGTTCTCGTGCACAGTAGATGGGCTGATTTTAACAATGTTATGCTCATAACTATGCCTGAACTACAACAGGGAACTGCTGCTTTTTCTTTCCTAACCCTTACTATTGTCATTTACCTCTACTTCTTTTGTGTGTTTGTCACACTCTTGTGACCCGCTATTGCCGGGGTGCCTTGATAGTCGAAGCAGACTTTGTGCTGCTGAAGCTAGAGAGGTGAGCAGAGTAAGTCTGATTCCCTGTAAGGACTTCTCTGTTGACATCCACCCCTTGGCGCCCTATGACCTTATGCAGTTGCGAGCGCCGTAAAGCCTCTACTAAAACTAAACTAAACTAAAAGACTTCCTACCTTGCGATGTTTCTGTATTATGAGGACACTGCCTAGGACGTCGTCAACCTGTCTAAGACAACCACTTTTCCGAGGCGACAATCTTAAGGGTGGATATTTCAGAAAATGCCAACTGTGTATAAATGAGCCAGTGTTTGTTTGTGTTTTGAGTGTGTGTGTATAGAACCAGTGCTTGTTTGTTTGTTTTTGACTGAATATGTATTATAGAATCAGTGTTTGTTTGTTTGTTTTTGACTGAATATGTATAGAACCAGTATTTTTTTTGTTTGTTTGTTTTTTTAAGATGTATGTGCAGAAGCAGTGGTGGTTTGATTATTTTGGCTATGTATGTACAGAACCAGTGAGTTTCTTTTGATGTATTTTTACTGTGCATGAAAGAACCAGTGTTTGTTTACTTTGTTTTTTGACTGTGTATGTAAAGAACCAGTGTTTGTTTGTTTGTTTTTTGACTGTGTATGTAAAGAACCAGTGTTTGTTTGTTTGTTTTTTGACTGAGTATATAAAGAACCAGTGTTTGTTTGTTTGATTTTTGACTGAGTATATAAAGAACCAGTGTTTGTTTGTTTGATTTTCGACTGAGTATGTAAAGAACCAGTGTTTTTTTTAATTGAGTATGTATAGAACCAGTGTTTGCTTTTTTACGGTATATGTACAGAACCAGGGTTTGTTTGTTTTGTTTTTGACAGAGTATGTATAGAACCAGTGTTTTTTGTGTGTATTGTTACTCCGCATGAAAGAGCCAGTGTTTGTTTTGTTTTTTGACTGTGTATGTAAAGAACCACAGGTTTTTTTTGGAGTATGTATAAAACCAGTGTTTGTCTGTTTTATTTTTAGACTGTGCACGTATAGAACCAGTGATTTTTTTTAGGGTGTATTTTTACTGTGCTTGAAAGTACCAGTGTTTGTTTTGTTTTTTGACTGTGTGTATGTATAGAACCAATGTGTGTTTGTTTTTTGATTGTGTGTATGTATAGAACCAATGTGTGTTTGTTTTTTGATTGTGTGTATGTATAGAACCAATGTGTGTTTGTTTTTTGAATGTGTGTATGTATAGAACACATGTGTGTTTGTTTTTTTACTGTGTGTATGTATAGAACCAATGTGTGTTTGTTTTTTGACTGTGTATATAGAAGCAGTTATTGTTTGTTTGTTTTTTGACTGAGTGTGTATAGGACCAGTGTTTGTTTGTTTTTTGACTGAAGTGTGTATAGAACAAGTTCCTGGTAGGAGCTTTTTTGTAAAAAAAAACTCTGTGAATATATCTAGTGTTTGTTCTCAGCAGTATATCAATTTTATAATGTTTGTTACAATAGTGCAGTCAAAATTCAAAGTTCGGTGACGCTCACGTTTTGTCAAGTATATCTTCAACTATCGAAAATAAACTCTCCATCTTCTGTACAATGACTTGTAGCCCGACCAATTTGTATTAACAGATAAACATTTTTGTTAATACTTGTACTGTAAGGTGTATGCTAGGAAGTTCCTTAATAGAGATGATTGATTAAAATTCCAAGTGGATGGTTTCTACAGAATTTGAAAGGTTTACATCCCAGGAGCAGGGACAATATCGCTTTTAAAAGGGGGAGGGGGGAGAGGGTGGGGCGGGCTACACCTGAAGGCTATCTCGCTTATTACAGGACCAAATTTTACCAATTTTCACACTTATAACAAGCATAGTAAGGAGTCTTAAAAT